TATTTGTGCCGTAGGTGGCACACACCTTTAATCCTAGCACTCCAAAGGCAGTGGCAGGTAGACCTCTGTGTGTTCGAGGCCAGACTAACCTACAGAGTGAGTTCCTGGACATACAGAGCTGTTACACAGAGAAACCTTGTTGAAAGAAAGGGAAGGGGAGAGAGAGAGAGAGAGAGAGAGAGAGAGAGAGAGAGAGAGAGAGAGAGAGAGAGAGGGAGAGGGAGAGGGAGAGGGAGAGGGAGAGAGAGAGAGAAAGGGTGTTGGGAAATGTTATGTTAAGATGTGTGACTTTTGCTTCTGCTGCGTTTAACTCTGTGTTACTGTGCCTGTCTAAAACACCTGATGGTCTGTCCAGTAAAGAGCTGAACAGCCAATAGCGAGGCAGGCAGGGGAGAGGGACAGGTGGGGCTGGCAGAATGAGGTCAAACATGAGGAGAAATCTGGGTGAAAAGGATCTGAGGATCAGGAACAAGATGGGAAGGAGGAGGACTTCGGGGCCAGCCACCTAGCTACAAAGCCAGACAGAGGAGGAAGGAGAGGAAAAGTAATACAGAAGCAGAGAAAGAAAACCCCCGAGGCCAAAGATAGATGGAATAATTTAAGAAAAGCTGGCAAGACTTCCCTGATAATGAGATGGATGACTAATTTATCCACCATCATGGAGCCCTCTTCTAGTAGCTGATGGAAACAGAAGCAGACACCCACAGCTAAACACTGAGCCGAACTCCTGGAATCCAGATGCAGAGAGGGAGGAGTGATAAGAAAAGGGGTCAAGACCAGGCTACAGAAACCCACAGAAACCTGAACAAGGGGAGCGAATGGACCCCCAGACTAATAGCTGGGAAACCAGCATTGAATAAACTCAGACCCTCTGAACGTGGGTCTGTTAGAAGGCCTGGGCAATCTAAGGGACCTCTGACAGTGGAACCAGGATGTATTTCTGGTGCAGGAAAGGACTTTGGGAACACATTCCCCATGGAGGGATACTCCCTTAGCCTAGAGGCAGGAGAAGGGCCTAGACCCTACTCCAAATGACTTGACAGATTTTGATGATCCCTCCTGGAAGGCATCACCCTCCCTGTGGAGTGGGGGGGGGGAGGGTGGTCGGGGGCATGGGAAGGAGGGAGGGAGAGGGACCTGGGATCGATATGTAAAATAAGAAAAAAAATAATAAAAAAAAGAAAGAAAATCTGGCAAGAAACAAGCCAAGCTAAGGCCAGGCATTCATAACTAAGAATAAGCCTCCGTGTGTGATTTATTTGGGATCTAAGTGGTGCCCCCTCCCAAGAGTAAAAAAGACTAGAGAGTAAAGGACACATCATACTACAAGGGGGGGCCCTGGTTCCACTACAGTGTTACTGTCTCCACGCTGATTCTGACAGTGTTCACAGTTGATATGCTGTCCAATTCGACTATGCTCGGTGGCTTTTCTGGTTTAATCTGTCCATTATCGAGATTGAAAACATTTGAGTGAGATCATGGATGTGGCTGTCATTCCCCATTACTATAGTGCTGGGGAATGTTACTTTAAGGCATGTGACTTTTGTTTATGCTGCATTTGTTTAACTCTGTGAAGCTGTGATTCTTTGCCTGTTGAAAACACCTGATGCTCTAATAAAGAGCTGAAGGGCCAATAGCAAGGCAGGAGCATGGGTAGGTGGGGCCGGCAGGCAGGGAGTATAAATAGAAGGAGAACTCTGGGAAAAGGAGCAAGGTAGAACAAGGTGGGAAGATATCATGGCCCAGCCGCCCAGCCAGCCAAGGAGTAAGAAGGAAAATAAGGTGTATAGTAGAAAGGTAAAAGCCCACAGGTAAAAGGTAGATGGGTTAATTTAAGAAAAGCTGGCAAGAAACAAGACAAGCTAAGGCCGGGCATTCATAACTAAGAAAAAGCCTTAATATGTGATTTATTTGGGAGCTGGGAGGTGGACCCCCCCCAAAGGCCAAAGAGTAAAAAGAGTAAAACATTGCACTGCACTGCAAGTGTATATAAACCCCCTTCATGTATTGAAGCTCTGCTATTCAGAGTATACCCTGGGTTTAAGTTTTAAAATATGGTTTTGAGTGAAAAAAAAAAAAACAAGGGAGAAATATGACTTGTCCTAGGTATGGTGCAGGCAAAGGTTTATTGTAGATATGTGGGATAGCACAGCCAGAGTCAGAGACAGGGACATCTGGAGAGTCCAGAGTGGTCATGATCCTGAGCCGTGTGGGGAGAGGGGAAAGAAGAGGAGAGAGAGGGGAACCAGGCATCGCAGCCGGGAGGCCCAAAGGTTCAATGAAAAAAAGCAACCAAAATGGGTTGATTATATAGGGAAGAGCAGCCCAGCCCTGGGCTGGAGAAGTTTAGGATAGGGGGCAGGGTGTGCCAGCCATACCCTGTAACAGGCAGGGACTGAGGGATGCTGGGAGAACCTAGACACCAGCATCCACTCCGACATTTTAAACAGGCACCTCAGTCTTTTGCCTCTGTTTGAAACTTTATAGTGCTTGATGGCCTCCATCTTACAGGAATCCACTTGGCTTTGCCTCTCCATGGCCGTGAACAAAAGGCATGTGCTATTTACGTCCAACCAACCTTATTTTCAGTAGATGAATGGCTCTCTAATTTCACTGGTAATGTTCTTTGTCCCCCATCTGCCATGATTTTACAATTGACTTAGGTCTTCTTTTGAGTACTATAAGGATGCTCACTTTAGTCTGTTAAGAGTATTTACCTTTAACATTTAACACATGGCTGGTCTCCATGTTTTCAAATCGAATCTCACAATGTATATTTTAGGTGTTTCCATTATTCACAATACATTTAACGTATTAGTGGTTATACTAGAATCGCCTATTCTCTTGACATTTGTTTTCCACCAAGTTCTGGGTTGAAGAAGTAGTTTTATGTGAATATAGGAACCAACAAAAGTGGCTTTGAAAGGTCAATAGTTTCACGACACAAGAAAAGCGGTTTTTCTGACAAAAGCTAAACATATTTTTTTGTTTAGGATGCACTCACGTGGCAGTCACTCATCCTTCAACATGGCGTAAAAGACTTGTCTAATGGATTGTTCCATCGATACAAATCCACGTGGCCCTCGGTAAAATTTCCCATCTAGAAAACAGGGACAGCGAACCCTGGAAAGGTCCAGCACACCTGGCTGTCTGAAATCTCCGATGTAGCTTGCCCTTCCTCTCCACATTTAAAACCAACCCATTCTGTAGTTCAGTCTTGTCAAATTTCTCATAGTCCCTCCCATCACACAGCGAGGTGGAATCCTTCTGTAGTGAGTCTCAGACAATACGTAATCAAAGCAGTTATATCTCGGTCTCATTTTATTCCAATTCTGCACTTTGAACTCAGGATCAGCCAGGCGGTGGTGGCCCACACCTTTAACCCTAGCACCCAGGAGGCAAAGGCAGGCGGATCTCTGTAAATTTGAGGCCAGCCTGGTCTACAAAGGGAGTTCCAGGACTGCTAGAGCTACACAGAGAACCCTGTCTCAAAAAACAAAAATAAAAACCAAACCGTTAGGCTCGTCTGTACATTCCATAGGAGAGAAAATACATTACACGATAAATCCGGAAGGACCTTTGGAACTCAGATATAAGTGCCATTGTACTTAGCTACCCGATCTAGGCTGCTAGCTGGGATTTTTCTGAATAGCTTAGCTTCCTCAGGGTTTTGCAAACTTGGACTATATTTCCCAGAGGCCATCGCGCAGGAAGTAACGATCACTTCCTTTATGCTGGCGCCACTGCTGCGGAAGGTCCTTGCCTTCTAGTTAGAGGAAGAAGTTGGCATAATTCTCCACTGAGTGAGTAAGGTGGGATCCAGCGGGCTGGGTGCGGGTGCGGACAGTGGTGTGGGTGAGTGTGTAGGGACCGTGGTGTGTGCGCGGGTGTGGTGTGGTGTGCGTGTGTGTGCCCGCGCGCGTGTGTGTGCATGTGTATGGCTGCAGGCGAGCGTGGATGTTTCACTGTGTGTGTGTGTGTGTGTGTGTGTGTGTGTGTGTGTGTGTGTGTGTGTGAGTGCGCGTTTGTGTTTGTGCGTGCGCCGCGCGCATCTCCAGCTCTGATCGTGGGTGTCACTGTGCTGTCTGCTCCTGCTCTCTCTCACGGTCACAGGGCAGAGGACCAGGCTTCAGGAACCTGAGGTCAGGGACGCAGTCTGAGGGCAGCTGTCCCTGGGGTCCAGGCTTGAGCTTGGGACGCCCAGGGCCGCCTAGGAGGGCAGCTACTTGTTGAGTCCATCATTTCTCAGAGCTGGAGCCATCGCGAGTGTTGTGGGAAGTGAAGGAAGTGCTCGCTAGGCTGTGTAGTCTGGGAGCCCATGCTGGCTCAGGCTCCCCAAGTCTGCCATTGTTCAAAAGGAGGGCCTGGTGAAGAATGCGAACATTATTGCTACACATGTAAGATTCAAGAGTGAGTTTGCTCTTCATTGTGTTTGAGAAATGAGGTTTTAGAATATAGAATTGTGACAAAGTGAAAGAGGAATATGTAAATTGATATCTCCACCATTGTACTTATATTGTTCCTTTCCTTTCCACTGAATATTCATGTAATCATTTCTGAGATCCTTGACATCTCTCCACAATCACTCCCTTTTCCCAAGATGTTAAAGATTTCTGGCGGTAACCCTTAGGGCTTTCAAACTCTGATTTGCTAAATCGGTTACTATAGTGATGGCATCACTCATCACATTGCCTTTCATCATTAAAGGCCTTGCTTTCAAATCAGGAGAAGAATGGAGGTGGAAAGTGATTTCTGTTTACTCCGAGGATTTCTGGAGTGGGAAAGTGAGCCCTTGCCAGTGGCTTGTCTGGGGTCAGGACAGGAAGGGCTTTGTGTGGACCCCTGTCGGCTTCTAATTGTGTGTGGAGGCTGTGAGCAGTGGGAGAGGAGCGTGTGAGTGTGGATGCTTGAGAAATAACAGTAGTCAGTGACCATGCTGACCTGAGTCAGTCTGGGGACATCAGTGACAATCCAATGAAAAGGCTCTCTTTTGTCCCCAGGGGAGGATCCTGAAGGAGAATGGCCAGCTCTGGTCCTCAAGACACGGTGTGTGTAAGTTGTGTCCTCTCTTTCCATGGGTGACTTTCAGGTTGGGTGAGTCTTTGCTGTCTCTCGCGAAGCTTCCCCAGGACCGGAAATCCCCAGCCCAGGCTGCCCCGTCCATCACAGAGAGGGCTGGAAGGTCAGAGCACTTCCTGTGTGTGTCTCTTTCCTGCTGCTTCTGGAGTTTTCTGTGAATGCATTCCTGCACATCTGCTCTCTGCTTGGTCTGTGGTCAGGGAGGACTGTCCTTGCCATGGAGGCCGCGGTCCCCCAGGGAAGCAGGGTGTTTGAGGTTTCAGAACGTTGAGGTGATGTTGTCCTTTGACTGCATGAGATCCCGATTGCTGTCTTTGTTTTCAGGCTGATACATGGGGTTTGAGAGTGAATGGCCTGGGTGCATGTGTGTGAGGAGATGACCTGCTTGAGGGGCTTTGAGAGAGAGTGAGGTCATTCAGGCTGTGATTGGAGGGGACGGCAGTCTCCAGAGTTCAGGAAGACCCAAGACATATGCCATCTAGTTTTTGTTTTGTTTTGAAGAGGGCAAAAAAAAGGTTGAACTTAATATACCAATAATAAGGATTTTTATTTAGTGTATGGACTCTTACATACTTTATAAAATCATAATGACAAAAAAATCTTCATAATATCATCTGATGTCATAATAAACTCAGAACTCACACTGCTTCTTAGGTATTTTACACTGAATGCTGGTGACAGTTCTCTTGAGGTGATAACTTGAAGGATGTGAATGGAATGGAAATGCACAGTTATTGGATGTGTAGGGTGGGGACCATCATCCTTTACTGGGGAGCTCATGCAGTCAGGCGCCTTGAGCATTTCCATGGCTCCTTTCCCGCTCTTGAGTCCTTTCCCTTCTGTGTCTCCATCTTGAACTCTTCCCCAATTTCACTCCACTGTGTTTGTGGTTTCAGGGCTCAGTGACATTTAGGGATGTGGCTGTTGACTTCTCTCAGGAGGAGTGGGCCTGCCTGGATGCTACTCAGAGGGTCTTATACAGGGACATGATGCTGGAGACCTACAGCAACCTCGTCACAGTGGGTAAGGCCATCTGTCCCCATGAGTGGGGGATGTGTCCCCCACACTGTTGTCTTTGCTGACTCTGAATGGAAAGACAGGGCCATCTCTCCTGTGGTAGCTGATGCTGGGCTTGGTGGCCCATGCCTGTCATTCCTTCACTCAGAAGGCTGAGGCAGGAATATTGCTCTGAGTTCAAGGTGACCCTCAGATACATAGTAAGTTCCAGGATAGCCTTGTCTACAGGATGAGGCCCAGTTTCACATGAAGTGAAGTAAATTAATTAAACGAAATAAATAAGGAGATAATATACAGAATTAAGGGTTACAGACATAGTTTGGTGTTTAAGAGAAATGGCTGCTCTTGCAGAGGACCTGGTCTCAATTCCCAGGCCAGTAAGTTAGCCCCCAGCCATCTGTAACTCCTGTTGCAGGGGATATGATTCATTCTTGTGACCTCCATGGGAATCAAACATGTGGTACCCAGATGTACATGCGACAGACACATGGCGCATAAAATGACATAGATTTAAGTTGATAGAATTTTAAAGATGTAACTGAGTTCCTCTTTCCCAAAGGAATAATGTGGGGTTCATGAAACCACAGGAGCTTCATGAAACACCCGCCTTTTGTCCTCACCTTGGAGCTCCTCCCAGTGGCCTATACACACATCCATGCATGCGTGCCAATACAGACTTGTGCACACACCCTCATAGAAACATGCATACTCTGTACGTGCACGCACACACAACTAAGTATAAGAGCCTTTATGATTCACTTAGTAATGAATCCGTAGACTCGATTCAAACAGAGGTAGACCCATTGTGTTTCCTCAGTGAACACTTCCTCTACCTGCTTTGTTTCAGGCTGTGAATTTGTCATTTTCACTGAACAAATCTGTAAGTCTGAGGTGTAAATGTGAATGAAGGCAGTATAAATAACAATATAGCAATTTTTATCTGTTACACTGGTGATGTAACTCAGTGGTAGGGGATTTGCCTAGCATGCTCAAGAGCCTAGTTCTATCCCCAGCATGACTAAGTAATAAATGGAAATTAAAAAAAATAATAATTTTGTGATACTATAGGTCAGAAAATAATTCCAAGTGTTTGAATATACTATTTCATCTAAGTATCAACCCTATCCAATAGATACCACCAACTCAATCTAAGTTGTTATTATTTATTTGCTCTTTTTGAGGCCAGGTCTCGTATAGCTCAGGCTGACTTTAGAATTGCCTTGAAACTCAAGCCAGCCTTGAACTTCTTCTCATCTGCTTGCTTCCACTCCCAAGAGTTGTGATTTCAAGTGTGTGCCCCATGCCCAGGTTTTAGATGGGAACATTGCACATAGAATCTTACAGGACTTGCCTAAATAAATGGCCTTTTTAGTGAGCTGCAGAGGTGGGGTTTATACTAGACAGTGTAGCCTGAGTGTTCATGTTCTTACCTGCTGTGTATACTTTCCCTTATGAGACAAGCCCCTATCTATGTTTACCTGATGTTAGCCCCTCCCCTTTTTCCTGAGACAAGAGTCTTGTTATATAGCACAGACTGGTCCCGCCCCCCCCCCCCCCCCCCCCCCCGCTAGGCTTATAGGCATGATCCACTGTACCAATCGGTACAGGTCTGTATTTTTTGAAATCTGCCCAGGCAGTTCATGGTGGCACACACCCTTAGTCCCAGCATTTGGGAGGCAGGGGCAGGCAGATCAAGGTTAATTCAAGGCCAGCCTGGTCTACATATCAAGTACCAGGACACACTGGTATAATTAACGAGACCCAGTTTCAAAAAACCAAAAAAGTTACCACGTGTATCACTGTTTTCTTCCTTTTAAGTGGGAAGTTCCATTTCCAAACCGGATCTGATCACCTTACTAGAGGAGGAGAGAGAGCCCTGGATGGTTGTGAAGGAAGAAACAGACAGGCCCGGCCCAGGTGAGTAAGAGGAAGGCAGGGCTCCAGCATTGCCAGACACAGCATGTGGTTGGAGAGTCACGTCATGCCTGACACTGGGTTGACACACTTCCTTCAGAGCGCCAAGGCCTGGGGAAGAACATGGCTGAGACCTGGGCAGAAGTCAAGGTCATAGCAGAAGCTGTCACAGGGGCTTCTAGTTCATGGGTCACTAAGTTGTTCCCATCGTCCTCTCTCTCACTGGAGCAGTCACCCTCTTTCTGACATGTTAAATGCATTTTATTATTGGTTGTGTGTGTGCACATGGAATGCACCAGAAACGCAGTAACACAGTGAGACATAGCGAGTATTTTATTCTGTGCCTCAGAGTCACTGTAACCAAGGTGTGATGGCGTAGCCTACGCTTCTCACTGCAGCACTGGGGAGGTGGAAGGAGCAATCTCTTGTGTTGCTAACACCCAGCTCAGCCTAGTTTACCTGTCAAGCTCCAGGCAAAAGAGAGACCCTGACTCAAAAAGAGTAGATGGTCAAGCCAATGGGACATCCTTCTACCTCCTTCTACCGAGTTTGACACGGGGCTGTGATCTCTTCTTGGTTGTCAATGAGACTACATCTGGAACTAAAGTAAAACCCAAGCAGCTGGCTGTACCTGTGAGAGTTTTCTTAATTAAGCCATTTGAAGTGGGAAGACATACCTTAAATCTAGGCCCCACCTTCTGGTGGCAGACCGTAAAAAGGATGTGAAGGAAGGAAGCTCTTGCCTTCTGTCTGCCTCCCCCCACTCTGCTGTCAAGTCCATTCCTCCACTGACATGAGAGCCTGTTTCTTCAGATTCCAGCATGTACGTACCAAAAGCCAGCGGAGACATGCTGTGGTGTGAACGACCCCTGGATTCTTGGACTTTGTGTTGTTAGATGGGCAGTGTTGCCCTAGCTGGTCCACAGCCTGTGCCACTCATAAATCCAATACATAGAGAATGAACCCTTGTGTTCCTCTAGAGAACCCTGACTAACACAGGGGACGTATCCATAGTACCAGGGTTTGGGGTGCGGAAGCAGGGCAGTCAGAACTTCAAAGTTATCCACAGCTACATACTGAGTTTGAGGCCAACATAGGCTACATGAAACCATCTCAAAACATAGAGGGCTGGAGAGATGGAGCAGTGGTTAGGAGCATTTGCTGCTCTTCCAGAGGACCCAGACTTCGTTTCCAGTGCCCACTGGGTTTCCAGCTCTCACGTAGAGGCTTACAACTGCCTATAACTACAATTCCAAAGGATCTGGTGCTCTTTTTTGGCTTCCTTGGGCACCAGGCATGCAAATTATAAACACACACACATGCAGGCACTCACAGAAACACATAAAATGAAAATAAATCATTAATAAATAAATAATAACTCAACCAAATTACAGCCTCAACCACAACCCCCTCAACAGGACACCTTAAAAAATATCGTCCAAATGTACCGATTAAAAACATTTTCTTCATGTACTGTGTTCATGTCTGCAACTACATGTTTAAACACTTTTTGTTGAAGTTTTAATGGTGAGTCAGTCATTGATAGATAGTTGATACCAAGTATTTCATGCCTCCCCTAGAAAGATATCCACAAATAGCCTTCTATCAATCTAATTAATCAATCTAATTAACCAAAACACACTATTACTCTCATACCAATAGCACTATCTTTTCAGGAAGATCTTCAGAGGGTGTTTTCTTTATGAGTTTTCTGTTTTAAATAACATTATGGGGTTGGTTTTAGTTCTTTGGACTTGCATGTATTTATCATTGCATCTCCTTTTTGTCTTCTTATTTCCCTCCTTTTATTGAGAATGGCTCCCCCCCCCACACACACACATAATGTGTGATTTGGGCCTCCCGTCCATCCCTCTGCTCATCCCAGTTCCTCCCCACCTCCTCTTCATTCAGATACACCCGATCCATCTCTCCTCATCATCAGGTCTCTAAGGTAACAACATAAGAAGCTAAAACAAAAATTATCACATGTTTATTCTCCTAGGGATGAGTTCAGAGAGTAAGGAGATCTACAGGAAGTATTCTGCTACAGAGCTGCAGATGGGATTGGGGATTGGACTTGGAGGAATGCAGGGAGAAGCGAAGATCTGCAGTTAGGCTGTGACCTTTGGGTTCCCAGGGGATCTCTGTTGGATTGTGAGTTGGAATAAAGCAGTGAATGGGGAGAAGGAAGTTAGGGGTTGTGGATATAAGTGATCCAAGTGACCTAGTGGGTCTAAGGTAGAAATGGGAACATGAGTGAAGGGCGGACTGCAGCAGGTAGTCTGCTGAGGTCTAAGCATGAGACTAGGAGATGCTGTTTGGAGGAGATGGCAGAATAGGTAAAGATTGGCAACTACCATACCCGTTTCCCTGGCCAGGGATCCTCAGTTGTCTTTAAAACTCTAATGTATTCTCTCCACCCTCCACCAGACAGTCTCACTATGTAGTCCAAGCTATATTGGAACTCATGACACCGTTCCCTCTGGCTACCTGTTCCCGGAATTATCACTATTGGGTACCACTACCACAGATTTTTATTCCCAGTTTTAACAATCCCAGGCCTTGGCAATGTTCTTAATGCATGACAGATACTTGGTATTTGTGTGTGCTATATTATTTTTCTTGTTATTTGGTTAAAAAACCACCAACTCCTGTGTATTTCCAGATGCATAAAGCATCTAAGAATGGTTCAGTATAGTTTGTTTTAATCTCGTTAAGCAGACATACATTCCCATTTCCAACCTGTTCTACTGAAGTGTAACATAAACATAAACTTTTATTATTTCTGCTCTCCTTGCTGTTGGTCAGAAAATACTTAAGAGTTGGGCTATTAATTGAAAAGCTTTTGTGTTTGTGACACAGGAAAATAAAATAGTCTTGCTTCCCTTGTTCTTTCAGATTTGGAGTCCGATTATGAAGCTCAAAAAATATCTGTGGACATTCATAATATGAATCTACCCAAAGAGAGCATAAAGCATATAAGTAAAAATTGTGACCTCCAGGGCTCCAGTTTTAGTAATGGCCCCAACTCTAGTACAATCAAGGGACTACAGAGCTGTCAAGATGACCAAAAGATTACTAAGAAGAAAAAAATGCCTTTATATACCAGCCAGACTCTTAATCACAATATAGAAAAAGAATATGAATGTATAGAGTGTGGGAAGTGCTTTGGTTGTAGTTCAAATCTTACTCAGCATCAGAGTATTCATACCGGAGAGAAACCCTATGAATGTAAGGAAGGTGCAAAGGCCTTAAAACCCCACCAACAGCTTACAAGACATCAGAAATCTCACAGTGGTAAGAGACCTTTTGAATGCGAGGAATGTGGTGAGTCTTTCAAGCATGAATCCAGCCTTGTTCAACACAGGATTATTCATTCTGGTGTGAAACCGTATGGATGTAATGAGAATGGAAAAGCCTCTAATTGCCACTCAAAGGTTATGGAACATCAGAAGATTCTTTCTGGTGAGAAACCCTCTCAATGTAAGGAATGTGGGAAAGCCTTCACTGTTCTAACACAGCTCATCATTCGGACCCACAACAGTCATACTGGAGAGAAATCATTTCAATGTAAGCAGTGTGGCAAGATACTCAGTACTGGCTCATATTTTGAGCAACATCAGAGTAGTCATACAGGTGAGGAATCCTTTGAGTGTAATGTATGTGAGAAGGCTTTTAGGCTTCAGGCATACCTTTCTGAGCATCAGAAAACTCACACTGATGAGAAACCTTTCAAGTGTAAGCTATGTGGGTCAGCCTTCAGACGTAAGTACCACCTTACAGAACATCAGAGCATCCATACTGATGAGAAACCCTATCAGTGCAAGGAATGTGGGAAATATTTTCGTCGACGTTCAAATTTTACTGTTCATCAGAGTATTCACACTAATGTGAAACCCTTCAAGTGTAAACACTGTGGGTCAGCCTTCAGACTTCAGTCCCTACTTACACAACATCAACGAATTCATACTGATGAGAGACCCTATCAGTGCAACGAATGTGGGAAAAACTTCCGTCGTCGTTCAAATTTTACTGAGCATCGAAGTATTCACTCTGGAAAGAAACCGTTTGAATGTAAGGAATGTGGGAAAGTCTTTAGACTTAATATCCATCTCATTCGCCACCAGAGATTTCATACTGGTGTGAGATCTTTCGAATGTTCGGAGTGTGGAGAGGCCTTTCGTCTTCGTGCCCATCTTAAGAGCCATAAAATAATTCATTCAAATCTAAAACTGTTTGAATGCAAGGAATGTGGAAAGTCCTTCAAGCGTGTCTCCACCCTTGTTCAACATAGGAATATCCATGCTGGTGTGAAGCCATATGAATGTAATGAGTGTGGGAAAGCCTTTAATCGTCGCTCAAACCTCACGCAACATCAGAAGATTCATTCTGGTGAGAGACCCTTTCAGTGTAAGGAATGTGGGAAAGCCTTCACTGTTTTGGCACAGCTCACTCGGCACCAGAACATTCATACTGGAAAGAAATCATTTGAATGTGAGCAATGTGGGTCAGCCTTCAGACTTCATTACCAACTTACTCAACATCAAAAAATTCATACTGATATCAAACCCTATCAGTGCAAGGTATGTGGAAAAGGCTTTGTTCGTGGTACAGGCCTTAGAATTCACGAGAAAACACATACTGGTGAGAAGCCCTTTCAATGTAAGGAATGTGGGAAGTCCTTCCGAATTCATTCTGAGCTTACTCAACATCAGAGAAGTCATAGTGAAGTGAAACCCTATCAGTGCAAGGAATGTGGAAAGGGCTTTGTTCGTGGTACAGGACTTCGAATTCATGAGAGAATCCATACTGCTGAGAGGCCCTTTCAGTCTTAATGTGGGGAAACCTTTTGATATCATTACCAATTACTTGGACATTGTAGAATTCATACTGACAAGAATCCTTATGAATGTAAAGAACATGGGAAATACTTGTTTTGAATACTATAAAGCACACCAGAGAATTCACACTGGTGAGGAACCTTACCACTGTTAAAAATGGGAAAACACCTTTAATCCCAGCACTTGGGAGGCAGAGGCAGGTGGATCTCTGTGAGTTTGAGGCCAGCGTGGTCTACAGAGTAAGTTCCAGGACAGGCTCTAAGGCAATACAGAGAAACCTGATCTTGGGAAAAAAAAAAAAAAAAAAAAAAAAAGGAAGAAGGAAAGAAAAGGAAAATCAAGCTTGGTTTGACATGCTTAAGTTCTTATTAGCAAAAGGCCTTATGGATGTAAAGAATGTGGAAAGGCATTTAGCATTAATTCTAAGCTAGTTGTATATCAGAGAATTCATGCTGGTGAAAAACCATATTAATGTAAGAAATCTGGGGAAATATCTAGCTTTGTTCAGTCTTCGTAGCACAGTGGAGAAGCCATACTGCTATGAAGCCATAAAGTGGACTTCAATTGGAGCTCAGGCTTTCAGCATAAAGGAATCCATGCTTGTGTGAAACCCTGTGAATGCAAGGAATGTGGAAGCATGTATAGAATTAGCTCAGCTCTTAAACCTCATCAGAGAGTCCATATAGGTCTGAAACCTCATGAATATAAAGAATGGGAAAGCCTTTATTATAAATGGCAAGCTTATACTACATGGAAAATACATAATCATCAGGGGTCCTATGCATGTAAGGAATATAAACAGTCCTTTCTATGGAAATCTTTCTGAACATCAGAGGACTCATATTGGCAAGACTGCAACTAAAAAGTATGTGGAAAGAAATTTAATTTGCCCTAGAATTAAATGTCAGGGATCCTTGATATGAAGGATCTCTTTGCAAATGAGAATGTGGGACGTTTGTTTTTCATAGGTGATACTCTGTTGAAAATGTATGTAAATGTCAAAAGTAATAGAGTGCCCATCATGTTCTTGATTTACTCTCATCTTGTTAATTATATAAACATAATTCCTCAGACACTACTCTCCTAGGAGAGTCTGCTTAGGGAGAGTTGTATTGGAATTAGGTTTATTTCAAGGCACTTTCCTTGTTACCATTAATGTCCCGTGACTCCTGTCATAGTAGACTGAATGTTTACTTTCTTTATGAATACTTTGTTAATAGTGAGCACAGTACCAGCCAAAGTTGTGGGAGAAAGGGTCATAATAAATAATAAAATTCTTGAAAGAATATTTGGCCATTCCCATGTTCTGTAAAATAGCTTTTAAATTGTTCTCCATTTTAGTGGCATTATTGTAACTCATATGAAAAGCAAAAGTGTATTACAGGTAGTTTAGAAAAACATGCATTCGTACACTGTTAAATTTAAAATAACGTTCTGAATAAAATCTGGTGGATGAAAAGGAGCATGAAAGGATCTTTATTGAAAGTCCATTACTTAAATATTTGTATGGAGATGTTCATGAATAAAGTATTTTTTAAAGGTGTTAAACCCATAGACATTTGAAAGGATAATAACCTGTAATTTATGCTCTCAGCCCAGATGTAAAGATAAAATATACATTTGTGACAGGGCAAGAATTTGTCTTCTTTGATGGAAACTATTATGGAAAATTATCCAAATCTGTTCTCAGAGCCTGAGGTCAAGATGCCCCTGCTAATTTATCTTGACTTAATGTTAAACTACCTGCATGAACAAGTGTTCCCCTCCATGTACATGCTTATCTTGGCTTCTGTTAATCTGCCTGTTTGGGTAAAAGCTCCCCATTCAGCTGCTGAGCATGATAACAGGATGTGATTTTTGCTTTAAATGCTTGGAACTACACTTGTAGTCCCAGCCAACTGAAATAGACTGAGTTAGCTATAAACTGCATCTGAGTGGTCTTCTCTGGTGGGCTCCCCATAAAAAAATTAACAAAAACAGCCAAATCTAAACCACTTATAGTCAACAACACACTTTGGTATCTTCTCCTAGGTTCAAAATCGTTAACATTCCAATTTCCATCCTATTCTGTATATATGGGTATTTAGGGCTATTCTGTTAAGAATACATTTAGAGTTGGGTGAGGTAGTGCATGCCTGGAACCCCATAATTGGAAAGCCAAGGCAGAAAGATCAAGAGTTGGAAGCAAACTAGCTACACAGTGGCTTCAAGTCCAACTCTGGCTGTATAGAGATCTTTTATTTAAAAAATTGTAGACATGACTTTTAAACCCTTACTACATTGGACAATTTGGAATTTCATCCCTACCATAGAGCCATGATTATACTTAAGTGATCCAGAATTTTACAACATTGAGAAATTCGTCATTGGCCTTCAAACTGCCCCTTTTACCTATATATTCTAAGGAGAATACCATATACATAGAGATTTGGCTTTGCTCTGTCATTTAGTACACTTTCAGTTTTAATTAAACCCAGGGACTTTGTGGGTGGTAGAAATATGCCCAGTAACCAAGCTACATTCCTAGCCCTTAGTCATTGTATCTTCTATCCAAGGGAAGTTAGGTTCAGATGAAGCATTTTCAGTAAGAACACATTGCAGATTGTCTACCATGTGGCAACATATCCAGAAACACTTTGGTGTCAGATAACTCATTATTGAGGAAATTAAATTTGGTCATTTGAGTAAATTGGAGTTCTAAAAAGTCTAAATTGTTGTGGATAAGTAATTTGTGTGGACAGACTATTGCTTCTAAATATAGATATGGATATGGTAATCCTGGTCAATTATAAATGAAAGTTGAAATTGTACTATCCTCTGAATAGTACAATAACACTAACATAGTCAAGTTGTGTGGTCTAACAGATGCTATTGTAAGTACAAAATTAATACCACTCAGTATAAGCAGGAAGCCAAGACTGTTGACTGGAAACTTGTTTTTTGTTGTCACATTAGCCCAAGTACATGCACTATCCCTAGCACACGAACAATTGACGAAGTTGAAGAAGCTATATAAACAAGCTATATAAGAAACAGTAAACCCTAAACCAATATATACACACCAACAGCAGTAAATGGCATCTGCAAGTATGTAAATGCATTTTCTGTGCACATGGTTCCTGAGTGGGCTACGAGACCACCAGATGACCCCTGGGGCTAATCAAGGACCCTACATGAGTCACCATGTGTGTGATGCAGACTGAACACGTGCCCTTTCAAAAAAAAAAAAAAAGTTAAAGTGCTTTTAACTGATGAGCAATCTCTCTAGCCCCATGATAATTTTAAAGTAACAAGGGAATAATATGTTTTTCAGGAGCATAAACTTACATAGATTTTTTTCTACATTTATGTATCTATAATCACTTGAATTTGTTATTTTATTGGATTCTAAAGTATATTGTTATGGTGGCATCTGGAAAATTACCTGCTGTTTTTAGTGCCTATCTGAATGATACCTTCATGTGTTTGGCCCTTTGGGAAAAGTTTGCTCTGATTCAAGTTCATCAGTTTGAAGAGACGTGTCTAGCAGAAAATGCAGTAATGGGTAACATTGGGCATTTTATCATTTCCACCAAAAAGATAAACTGGAGGGAAGATGTCTATCACCTTGCCAAATACTATCTTTTCATGCTGGTGTTTAGTAAAAGCATATATAGACATATGTGTAAGGTATGTAGTAGAGTGTGGTCAGGTGTCTGTGGTTTGGAAACAGATGGACATGTGCATTTCCACAATGTAAGTAGTTATTAAATAAGCAACAACCAGTGACCTAAATAATTGGAAAACTCAAAACCCACTGTTGCTGAAGTTCATAGCCTGGACTCACAGCCGATTAGCCTCAAATAAACACACAGATGCTAAATTATTAAACTGTTGGCCAATAGCTAGGGCTTCTTACTGGTTAGCTCCCTCTTAATTACTAACCCATACCTACTAATCTATTTGTTTCTACATTGCCTTACCTTACCAGAGAAAACCTGGCGTGTCTTATCTTCCTGGTTTCTCTATGGTGTCTCCTTGTGGCCTTTCTCCTCCCTCACGAGCATTCTCCTTGTCTCTCTACTGACCAATCAGTGTTTTATTCATCAACCAATAGAGAAACCATATAGAAGACTATCCCCCATAAACCCACCATTCTCTGAAAAGAGTAGGGAGGCCATTATCGTATAGTAGTTACTACTCTGGGTTGTGAAAAGAGTAGAGAAACTACTCCTGGCCAGAAAGGATTACTGCAAGACAAAGCAGTCAGGATACAATGGATTTTCCCTTCTGTCCAACACTGACCAAGGAGGCAGTTTTCTCTAGGCTCTTTTTAGAAGGATTATAGATCACTTCTATAAAGATTGTCTCTTTCACTCAGTAAATCCCAGGAATTAGAAAAAGAAAAGGTTATTACAGCCCCACAGCTTTACTGGAGGCAGATGATATGATAGTTTACATAAGTGACCCAAAAACCTCTACCAGGGAACTCCTACAGTTGATAAACACCTTCAGAAAAGTGGCAGGATATAAGATTAACTTAAAAAAAAAAAAACCAGTAGCTCTACTATATACAGACGATAAAGGGACTGAGAGAGAAATCACAGAAACATCACCCTTTACAATAGCCACAAAAAAACATAAAATATCTTGGGGGTAATGCTAACCAAACAAGTGAAAGACCTATATAGCAAGAACTTTGCATCTTTAAAGAAAAGAATTAAAGGAGATACCAGAAAATGAAAATATCTCCCATGCTCTTGGATAGGTAAAATCAACATAGTCAAAATGGCAATCTTGCCAAAAACAACCTGCAGATTCAATGCAATCCCCATCAAAATCCCAGCACAATCCTTCACAACCTTGAAGGAACAATACTCAACTTTATATGGAAAAACAAAAGATCCAGGATAGCCAAAACAACCCTGTACAATAAAGGAACTTCAGGAGGCATCACCATCCTTGACTTCAAGTTCTATTATAGAGCTTGGTATTAGCACAAGAATAGACAGATAGACCAATAGAATCAAATAGAAAATCCAGATATTAACCCACACACCTAAAAACACCTGATTTTTGACAAAACAGCTAAAAGTATACAATGGAAGGAGGAAAGCATCTTCAACAAATGGTGCTGGAACAACTGGATAATGTTGTATAGAAGACTGTAGATAGATAGATCCATGTCTATCTATCACCATGCACAAAACTCAAGTCCAAATGGATCAAAAACCTCAAATCCAGCCACA